CCACCTCCGCGGCGAACCCACAGGAATTCCGTCGCCGCTTTTCCTCCGCGACACAAAGGGATGCGAATGCGGCCATGATCGCATGACGCTACCATAATGTCCCTCAACTCTACCGATGGCTTCGTCGCCGCCGCGACAACCGGCCTCTTGGACCTGAAGCTCGAGGATGGCGCCGCGCTCCCCATCTTTGTTGTCGAGAGCGTTCAGCTGCAGTTCTCAGTCGCGGCCGACTTCGTCGCCGCACAGGTAGCGAACAATGTGCTCGTCTTGGCGCTCGGGAACGGGAGGATACTGCGCATCGACCTGAATAGGCCCGAGGATATCGATGGTAAGCAACCCCCCCCCCCCCCCCCAAAACCCTTCGTCGAGAAACACCAGAGGGAGAAAGAAAGACAGGACTCGTCGGACTAACATAGCCTTGCCAGACATCGACCTCCCGAAGAAGGCCTCCGAAGTGGGTGTTATCCGCCGCATGTTCCTCGACCCCACTGCCTCGCACCTCCTCGTCTGCACCGCCTCCGGGGAAAACTACTACCTACACTCGCAATCACAGCAACCACGTCCCCTTGGAAGATTAAGAGGCGTTCTGATAGAGAGCGTCGCGTGGAACCCGGCCCTACCGACCGCCTCGACGAGGGAGATCCTACTCGGCGCCGCGGACGGAAACATCTACGAGACCTTCATCGAGACGTCCTTCGAGTTCTACAGGAGGGAGGTCAAACATCTGAAGAGCCTACTCAAGCTTCCCGATGAACCAATCACAGGACTCTGGGCCGATCACCTAGACGGGCAGACGGACACGCGGAGAGTCATGGTAGCCACGCCAAATAGACTCTTCCATCTCTCGGGTAAGGTCGGCACGGCGCCCGATAGCACGGGGTCGATATATACCAAACTATTCGAATCCGAGCAGCCCGTTGTCCACGAGCTCCTGCGGTCTCCGTCGGGCGCTGGCCCTTCGTCCCTGGTTGTGTCGCCCGACCCACCGGAATCCGATACCTACGGAGGAGAGCCCCCTTCGCACGAGAAGGCCTTCGCGTGGCTGTCGTCGCACGGCGTCTATCACGGGAAGCTGCTAGCGTCCCCGGCAGACTCGACCCTCGGGAACAAAGTATTCGCCGAGTCGAAGCTGCTGCCGCGGAGCCAGCTGACTTCTTCCGGACGGGGGGGGGAAGAAGAAGAAAACGTCGGGGGATTCAATCGACGCCATCGCGCTGACCCAGTGGCATATTATCGCTCTCGTAGGCGGGCGCGTAGTCGCGGCGGATAGGCTCACGGGCGACGTCGTCTACGACCAGACGATCCTATCACCCGGGCAGAAGGCCATCGGCTTTTCTGTCGATTCGCAGAAGAACACGTTCTGGCTCTTCACGACCGAGGAGATCTTCGAGATCGTCGTCCGCGACGAGGACCGTAACGTCTGGCAAATCATGCTACGGATGCAGCAGTTCGACACCGCGCTGCAGTACGCGCGGACGCAGACGCAGAGAGAGACAGTGGCGTCGGCGTACGGCGACCACCTCGTGGAGAGGGGAAACTTCCTCGAGGCTGCGGCGGTGTACGGCCGGAGTAATAAGCCCTTCGAGTACGTCGCGCTGTCGTTGATCGACAACAACCAGCCGGACGCTCTGCGGAAATACCTGCTATCTAAGCTAGCGCTATCGAAGCGGACGGCCATCATGCAGCGGATGATGGTGGCCAGCTGGCTCGTGGAGGTGTTCATGGCGAAGCTGAATTCGCTCGATGACACCATCATGACGGAGGCGGAGTTGGCCGAGGACCTCAACCCGGCGCAGTCCCGCGAGCTCCTAAAGTCGGTCAGGAAGGAGTACCAGGAGTTCATAAACCGGTATAAGGACGACCTGGACCGCAAGACTGTGTATGACATTATCTCCAGCCACGGCCGCGAGGAGGAGCTCCTCTACTTTGCGAATTCGGTCGACGACTACAACTACGTGCTGTCATACTGGGTGCAGCGGGAGCGGTGGGCCGAGGCCCTCAACGTTCTCAAGAAGCAGAAGGACCCCAACGTGTTCTACCAGTACAGCGGCGTGCTCATGACGCGCGTGGCGACAGAGCTGGTCGAGGTGCTGATGCGCCACGCAGACCTGAAGCCCCGGAACCTGATACCCGCCCTCCTCGAGTACAACCGCATCTTTAAGGGCCCGGCCTCGCAGAACCAGGCCATCCGCTACCTGCAATACGTCGTCAACCAGCTAAAGTCCAAAGACGCGGCGGTCCACAACACTCTCATCTCCATCTACGCGTCGCATCCGTCCAAGGACGAGTCCGGGCTGATGACGTACCTCGAGTCGCAAGGCGACGAGCCCAACTTCGACCCGGACTTCGCGCTCCGCCTGTGCATTGAGCACCACCGCACGCTCTCGTGTGTGCACATCTACACCAGCATGGGCCAGTACCCCCAGGCCGTCGACCTCGCGCTCTCCCACGGCGAAGTGGAGCTCGCAGCCGTCATCGCCGACCGGCCGATGTCGAACCCGCCGCTCCGGAAGAAGCTCTGGCTCGCCGTGGCGCGGAGGGTCATCTCTCAGTCCGACAGCATCAAGGGCGCCATCGACTTCCTGAAGCGGTGCGACCTGCTGAAGATCGAGGACCTCATCCCCTTCTTCCCGGACTTCGTCGTCATAGACGACTTCAAGGAGGAGATCTGCGCGGCGCTCGAGGACTACGGGCGGAGCATCGACGGGCTGCGCCACGAGATGGACGAGTCGGAGCAGACGGCCGCCAACATCCGGCTCGACATCTCGGCGCTGGACCACCGGTACGCCATCGTAGAGCCGGGGGAGCGGTGCTACGAGTGCGGCATGCCGCTGCTGAGCCGCCAGTTCTTCGTGTTCCCCTGCCAGCACAGCTTCCACTCGGACTGCCTGGCGAGGAAGGTCCTGGAGCAGCAGGGGGCCGCGAGGGGCGCCAGGATACGGGAGCTGCAGGTCAAGATAGGGAAGGGGCTCGTCACGGGGGCCAAGAGGGAGGCGATGATTGCGGAGCTGGACGCGTTGGTTGCATCGGCGTGGTATGCCCCCCCCCCAACTATCTCCCCTTTAACTGTACAACCCTTCAAATTTGCGCATGCATACCCCGTTTTTCATGAGTGCTTGCGGACTTGGTTGGCTAACGTAGTTACACATGCAGTATCCTTTGCAGCGACTTCGCCATCAAGAGGATAGACGAGCCTTTCACGGGCAAGGACGACGACCCCAAGGAGTGGGAGCTATGATTGGGAGTTTTCCAAAAACATGTATATTCCGTCTTATATACTCTCTAATGCGCACATGATAATATAATACATCTCTTACTCGTCTTTCCGCAGGCAGCACCGGCGCCGTGGATGAGGGATGATGAGGATGGCGATGGGGGGGACTAAAACTGGCATTGCGTGACACCCTGCCTGGCGCGGGTGAGCATAAGGATGGAGACGATGGTGCCGTAGAGGGCGAGGACCTCGGCGAAGATGAGGATGAGGACCATGCCGAAGTAGAGGCGGGGCTGCTGGGTGCTCGCGCGGACTGTGTGGGTGGTTAGTTAGTGCCAGTTGAAAAAAGGGGGGGGGGGGGGGTTTTCGAAAACGTAGGAAAGGGGCAAACGGGGGTGCTCGACGTAAAAAAAAAACAACTCACCCCCCGAATCCCCCACGACCCCAATAGCGAAGCCCGCCGCCAGTCCGCTCAGCCCGACGCTCAGGCCAGCGCCGAACTGCATGAAGCCCGTGTAGAGGGCCATCTTCTCGGCGAGGTCCCCGGAGATGATGACGCTGGACACGACGCCGTAGATGGCGAGGATCTGGGCCATGACGGCGCACAGGGTGTTCTGCATGAGGCGGTCGGGGCGGATGATGCCAGAAGAGAAGATGGCGGGGGAGGACTTGGCGGTCCCGTAGGCGGCGCCGAGGACGGTGAGGACTATGGATGCTGAGCAGCCCATTGCGCCGAAGAAGGACTTTTTGGAGGTTCTGTTAGTGGGTGGGCTTGAAAAAGGGGGCGACGACCGGGGACGTGGAGAGAGGGATAAGCGGGGGAGGGAGAGGGGATTTGGCATACGGCGTATACGGGACTAGGAGTTGTTAGCTATGGAGTTAGACTCGTGCTGTCCGGGATAGTCGAGGGAGGAGGCAGACGCACCAGCGGTCTTGGTTGTAGTCCATCCTGAACGATTTCAGTCTCGGGAGCGTGCTGCTTCCCAAAACCTTGAGGATCTCGGCGGTGATGTATCGTCTGGCTATCCTGAGAATGCCAGGAGCGAGAAGGCGTACTTGTTCCCTGTTCCTTGGGGTGAGTGATACTGGATCTCGGCAGATGCTCCCGAATATATCGCTAAATAAGGAAAAGACACGGCATGTTCATCGGAGCTAGCTAGCTGCGTGGGTACAGGCAGCCATTTATATCTCCTCCTCGAGAAGTCCATCAGCTCTAAGTGACCCAAAATAACTTAACACCAAGGCACCCCCCGTACCCTCCGCGTACCTCGTCGCATCCCAACTCGCTTTACCTCTGCTCTTTCCACCCTATAATATACTTCGGTACCTGATGGGGACTTCGGCCGCGTGCGGACGAGGGAACCGGGCCCGGTCGTTGTCGAGTAGGCAGAAGAATAAAGTCTATGGTCATTGGCCCGTTCACTGTCGGGGCTGGCGGCTTGGACACAGCCCAGGCCTTCAAATAGTAACACCCCGGCGACCATTTTCTAACTACTCGTAGGGTAACATTCCCCCTAAGCTGGCATGGATATAATAAGTTGGGGAGAGTCGGGCGAGACAGGATTTACTCGGGGATATATATCCGTAGGGTAGGCTCGGGCTATGAAGTTGAGGGTGTGTTATTAGTCTCTAGATCGACATCACAATCCTGCTACCCATATCAAAGGAAGACAACACCACTCACTAACTAACACTGCCAGCTATTCTACGGTATTGTCGCTAGTGCTAGATAATGGGGAAAAGAAGAAGAATAGGCAAAAAGTTGACTGTAAAACGGTCAAAAAATTGGACACACCAGGAATCGAACCAGGGACCGCCTCTAACTTAGGCATCTAGATGCTAAAGAGGAATTATACCACTAAACCATGCGCCCTATTTGATGTCAACTCATCTCCTTGGCCCAATTTCTGAAGCTTCCGCACTCGTCGGACCCAACGACACTTCATCTCATGGGTGTGTGTGGTGATGTAACGGCCATCTGCCCGCCTGGCGACGGCTATATAACAGCCCGAGAATACGACCGCTGTCACTATTAGCGGCACATAGGGTAGAAGGGTGCGCTCCCTATCACTTCAATCACATGGCTCCCGAAGAAGTCTCTTTATTAGGAAAATGTCTACTTTCCCAAGTGATATCTTCAAGCACCCACACCCTCTCTCTCTTACAAAACGTCTTTCATAACCAAAACTCCGTGTAAATGCTCGCTGGCTTGCCCTCAAGTAACCCAAGAATCAAACTCCCTACACCCGGCGCCTTCCAAAATTATACAGAAACTCCGTGGCCATGCAAGTCTAGCGTCTAACACGGCAAGTATCCCATCTTCCCCTTCCTGAAATCCTTTCGCTCAGAACATCACTAGCAAAGCAGCCATGCAAGCCACCGCCGCAGCGGCGGATACACTTGCCGCCGGTCCTGCCCCGGACTGGCCCCCTTCCGTGAGGCCAAACTTGGCCGCCACCGGGTTGTCTACCTTTTTCGCCCCCGGCACGGCGTCAGACCCCGTCCCGATCTCCCGCACGTCGGTCTCCGTGCTGTTGAGCTTCGCCTGTGCGAGGGAGATCTCGTTATTTTCGAGGTCGAACACGACGTAGGCGGAGCGCATGAAGGTGTCGCCCAGCACGTTGGTGATATTCTCCGGGGCCGGCGCGATGCCGAACAGGCACGCGTCCTGGCCGTTGTTAAAGGCCGCCCGGCGGCCCGTCACGGACGACAGGTCGAGGACGAGCTCATCCATGGGGACCTCGATGGCCGCGGAGCCGGAGAAAGCAAAGCTGAGGGTTCTGGAGTCGGTGCGCGCGCTGCAGGGCACGAACGCGAGGTCCTGATCCTGGACATAGGTTGCGCCGACGATCTCGTAGAGAGCACCAACGACGTCAGCGGGCAGATAGGTGATCGAGGAACCGGAGTCGAGGACGACGCCGAGGGCCATGTCCTTGTCGACCGTCTCGTCGCCGAACTTAAGGCTCGTTAGTGTCACGAGGAATCGGCGGTACACGCCGCCCTCGGACTGGATCGGCAGCGCCGACAGGTCGCCCTCGTAGTGGGCCACATCCACCCCGCCGAAGAGGATTGTGCCCGTCCGCGCGTCGAGGTCGTTGAGGTAGATGCTGTAGGCCGCGGACCGGATGTGCCCTCCCTTCACGAGCTTCAGCGGCAGGTTGTCGTAGGGAGCGTCGTTGTTCCGAAGGACCTGGGCCTCGTTACTCGCGTAGCCGATGCCGAGGATCCCCCGCTGTGTGGAGCTCTCGGCGCCGACGCCGAACTGGAAGTTGGGGATGTCAGTGGAGCCGAGGCGGAAGGTGTCGCTGACGTAGTCGCCCGAGGCGCCCGAACCGTCTACGTAGGAGATGTTGAAGCGTTCGTTGATGAGTGACGCCGTGGAGGAGGAGTTCGGGTCGTAAGTTCCCCCGACGGTGCAGGGGTTTCCCTCAGAGGAGCAGAAGGCCGAGGACTCGGTGTTGACCCACAGATCACTGCTACCGGTGTCCAGGTGGAGCCTCACGTTCTGGGAGGGTGTTCCCACTGAAGCATTTATGGCGTAGAGGGTGTCCTTGGGGTACGTTAGTAGGGAACGTATACGTGCTACAGGGAGTGTGTTGAGGGAGCCACGCACCAAGTTATCGAGGGAGGCTTGCACTGTCTCCTTCCGTTTCCGTAGGAGGTGGTTGCGGATTGGGTCCGTGGGGTCCCGGTGCATGTCTAGTCGGACGACGCGAGGCCCTACACCCCTGGATTGTAGTAGCCTAGCTCCGACAGAGGCTGCTAAGGAGCCCGTGGCCAGAGCCGCGAGGAGTAGTGAGGCCGATCTCATGATTGACCTTGTTTGGAGGTCTGCTTAGGTTGCAAGTTGGTCCGGGTAACCCGAGCGAGAACAGAGAGAGAGCTTGGAGAAGGGAGAGAGGGGTGGCGGGGTTCAGATAAAGTGGCAGCTCAGGAGGGTTGATGTTTACAGGTGATCTTTTTTCCTCTCTGTTTTGCCGCTTAAGGTCGATAATAAAGTAGCTGATGAGACGTCAGGCACGATACGGTTGAGCATGGATGGCAGAGCTAACGAGGCGTGCGATATAGTCTTTCACGCAGCCGAAACGTTAATCGACGCCGGTAGGTAGGTAGGTACCTCTCACGAGGGAAACAGCGCCCTTAAAACCTCGTAGCGTCCGTTACGGCTACTTGTACCTCGTCAACGACTCCAAAAACTCAAAACAGTCCCTCGCTCGTCTCACGAGTGGCGTGGTGACGTACGCAGGAGTACGCACTCGGCGGCTGAGAATGGGTCCGTTTCCTGATCCACACCCACACAACGTCAAAGTGCCGATGACCCGGGCTCGAGTAGATGGTGGCGGGGCCGGCCTCCTCGGCGTGAGATATTCTGACGCCGGCGACGAATTGAGGTCAGACGGATGGCTCAGACTCGACTAATCCAGCTTGTATTACAAAAACCGAATCCGAATAATTGGAATCGAGGATGGAGTGTGGGGAAGAAGCGATGGCGGGGATGGGGGAGATTGTATCCAATCGTCTTGGCATGAGATCACCATGAAAAAGTCGAGGGCTGGGTATTGGGCCCAGCAGGGTGGGATCATTGAGGGAGCTCATGGCATGGGACGAGACCCTTGCGTATTAGCCGTAGGTTGACCATGAAACAACAATTCTGTGCATTGGCGGTGATGGAAGCGGATGGACAAGGATCTCAGCTACTACAAGTACTTTGTGCTAGTACGAAGTACTAGGAGAGGAAAGTGTGGTGTGAGCGAGCGCATGCATGTGTACCCCTAGCACCTGCGGTTTTCGTATTGGAGGAAGGAGAGAGGGAGACAGGGAGATACACGCAAGTGACCCACTGTCCCCCGGGGTTTTACTCCCTGCCTCGGATCCTGCACAAAAGACCCCAGAATACCTTTAATGGCAAGCATTACTCGCAGCGAAGAGAACCTAGAGAGACGATGCCATGACCAAGTGACCACATGAAACTTTGAATACCAAGAGCTCGGCGGCCATGGCCAAGTTGGGCGAACGTGCCTGTCATTCCACCATTGACTCGGATGTGATAGTCCGGCTCGAAACGCGGGCCAAGGAATGTGGCCAAGACCCGCCCGGTATTGACGGAAGTCAATGGACACGGACATGTATTGTAGAGATCCGATAGCGTTACTCTTGTACCCCGCAGGGCATCTCGCCCCGTGTAATAGATACCCACTAGCCCTCGACCGAACGAGTACTGGAGTATCGTCCGAGTCTGTCCGGTGCCCAATATCAAACCGTGATATTGCAGGTTGCCAGCCAGGGACGGCCGAGCCCCAGTCCTGGAGCTCCCATGCCCCCCCTGAGACAGCATTCCAAAGCCGGGGGCCTCCAACTGATACCTACCTTGAACCACGATATCCCAGCACGTGAGCACACATCGAGGGCCCACCACGGTGACATCGATTACCCCCCCCCTAAAGCCCCAGCTGCCTCGTCGCGATTACGCAACGCGTGAGGCACAGACCAGAGCTTAAATAGTGCCGGATCAGCCGGCATCACGACGTCGTCACCGCCTCCCATCCATCCTCCTTCCACGTCGTAAAATCCGACGCGGGGTTTTTTTTTGTGTTTCTCATTCCGGTGCCGCCAGGGATCTCCGGCATCTCACATCGTCCCAAAAATAGTAAGCAAGGGAAGGTGCGGAAGGGGGAAGAACGGGGAGGGGGGTTGGGTTGTTCGGCATGCGGGGCGCAGGACCTGATACAAAGGATATATACTCCGGGATTAGGTCATTATTTGTATTGGGAGACCACTGTGAGTGATATGAGAAGACCAAAGGCCCTCATCGCCAGCATTTGATCGACATTCACGGCCCCCCCCAAAAAAAAGGAGAGTAGCAATAATACCGGGAAAGAAAAAAAAGGAAATACGACAAAGACAAGACTCGAACTTGCGCGGCCGAAGCCATCAGCTTTCGAGGCTGACCCATTAACCACTCTGGCACTTTGCCTATTGGTATATATTTTCCCGCGGGTCTAGGCGCTGCTATGCGGCGACGCTCCAGATCGTGTGTAAATTGGAGGCTCTAGCGCTGCCGTGCCCCACATTCCGCAGCCCCCCACCTCTGCCCGACCACCCACCAAGCGAACATGAAGTCATGAAGTCAAAATACGAGGTACTAAGAAGACTGAATCCACCGTCAGGACTCGTCTTAACTGGTTGATGCAGAGAACTCATAGGTCACTTCACTTATCTTATGTACGGTATTCACAACCGTGGTATTATCCTCCTCCCACCAGAGCGATTACCCATCCCAGTACCATAGAGAAAAAAAATCAAAGAGCTCACTCAAACGACTCCATGCCAGATACAAATAATAGCAAAGGGATTCGCATAGTTTCTTTTGCTACCACTACCTCCCAGTGCGAGACTAAACCACCAGGGTCTACCGTCCAGATAACTACTTATATATGATATCCTCCAGCGCCCTTATTATGAGCAGAGGTGGGGTGGGATCATCACGCCGAGAAACCCGTCCTCGGCGGCCCGCACCTCTGCCCCCCATTATCCTCCTGGGATACAAAGGGGAATTTCCATGTAGCTTGGGCGAAGACTACATTCATAGCCTTGAGAAACGTGGACCCAACACCATCCACCACCATGACCCGTCTTCCCATACCCGCCCCATTCCAACCCCCGACCCCGCCCGTCTGGCAGGTGGAGCCAGGTCGGCCGATTGCCCTTGGCGCGACATGCGATCCCTAGTCGCGCCTCGTTTCGGATATGATGGGACGGCGAGGCGAATCACGGCTTCCGGCGAAGTGAAGGCGAGATTATTCGCTCCTCGAGGCGGTGATCGGCAATCCAGTAAGATGTAGTCCTGCATCAGACGCTTCCTGACCTGCCTAGCAGTATTATGTCGGAATACCTCCAGTCTAATGCCCAGCTTCGAGCTCCCCGCGGCTCGACTCATCCGACCACCTCGTTCTGTCCCCCCTAGCCATCACATCGTGGGGATGTCCCCTCGTCTGACACGTAGTATTCCGGATACAGGTTGTCGATGATGCGCGATGATTTGGCTCGGTTTGTCGTGGCATCGACGATGACTCTCCCTCTAGGCTTCCCCAACCCTCGGCAGACCGCATTAAGAATCCAGTTCTGTTTTGCGTATGTAGGTCGGCCAAAGGTTCCGCCCGAACTAGGTCCATTACTAGATTCGAACCTCGTGACTAGTATCGAAACCCAGCCTTGCCCGCTCACGAAACCGGTCTCGGCATCGAGCCGAGAGGGTCAAACGCTGGTCAGGCATGGAGTGGAGCGGGCTTCGGGCGACGCTGTATTAGGCTGCGAACAACTTCTTCCGTCGTATCGAGCGTGGCGGCGAGGGTCGTAGCCCAGGAGAGTCATCATTAATATCGTCGTCGTTCGATTCGTCGTTCCGTTCGTCGCGGTCGAAACAAGCCGATGCCAATGGGAGACAAATGAAAGTCGTGAATGAGACCGATATGCAATCCCAACTGGGTATCCTGTGTAAACACCCAGCCTGACCGAGGACCGAAATTATGCCGGGGGGGTATCATGCTCTCTAAGAAGACCTGTACGCCGTAGAAAAAAAAAGTCCCAAGTCCGTAGTCCCATAACTCAGTAAAGCATGACCGACAAAAGAAACAGATGCAATATCCCCAAAACAAGGGAAGAAAATAATGACAGGCAACTAATATGTCCAAACGAGATTGCTGCTGTCCCGGAACCATGCCGGGCTTGTCGATGGGTGGGTGCATTGCTGCGAGCCTCTTAGACGGGGAAATCTTGGGGGAACAAACAAACTGAAATGCAAAGGTGGGAGGGTGGGTCACCTGTATACCCGGGAATGAGACGCTAAGGGAAACAGAACAAAGGAAAAGGGGGAAAAGGGGAAATCCTGCCCTGCTGCCAAATGCCTTCGCAAAGAAACCAGACCGTGTATGCCTGCTGCCGAGATGGGGCCATGATGCCAGGTCGTTCCCCCCTAGCATGACAGTGGGAACCAGCGCCGGCTAGCGATTTGACGAATCCTTTGGACCTCTATGTTGTTTCTCTGGGATGCGGATGAAAAGGACCAGATGAGCGAAACGAAGCAGAAAACACCCAGATGCTCGCTTGCTGACTCGAAAAATGTGGCAGAGGCCGGTGGAGAGAGTCGTGACGAGAAGCCGAGGCGTTGTTCCCTTCGTGGACCGGTCCAGGATGTGCAACCCAAACAAGAAAAAAACAAAACGCCCAAAAATGCCTCTGAAAGTATGGAAATGCTTCTATGCCGTAGAGCACCAACGAATGCGCGCGACGGGCCTCAAAACTTGTTCTCCAGGAAAAGATGAGAGGTGGGATTGTCCGAGGGCAGGGAGTATTTCACGAGGTCGTGACCACGGGATAGTCGTCCTCAGCAGCGGGCGCTGGTTGTCACATTATCGACGTGTACTCCTGGTATCGGTCCCAGCCAACGTTCCCATATCCCATGCCAATGCCCATGCCCATGCCTACGCCGCATTGGACTGGTGCCAACATGCTAGGGAGGGGCAGCGCTGCCGTCATCCCCGCTGTTACCTGGGGTGTGCTGTAGAACATTCCCGCTGAGGTAAAGGGGGGGCTGTATGCCGGGGTTTGCGTCATGTCGACCATGCTCATGCTTGCCCAGATGGTGTTGGAGGAATCCATTGATGTCGAGACGACGCCGGGACTCGATGGCAAGACTCTCCACGCATCTACTGCCGGAAGACTTGTCGCTGGCGCTGGCTGGCCCCACATGGGCGCGGACACGGGTGAGTTGGGCAAGAGTGGCGGAGCGTGTCGCATGGGCTCGACGATCTTCGGTGGCGGCGGGGGCAATGGCTTCATCATCGCGTCGATAGCGTTCTTGACCTCCTCACTCTTGCCGCAGAGCAGCTCACCCGTACCGCCATCTTCCAAGCCCTCTAGCGCCGAGACGTGGACGCGGAAAACGAATTTGTTGATGGCCTGGACGAACTCCTCGTGTAGGATCTTGCACTGCTTCTCCTTCTCTGGCCAGTCGAACGTGTTCGCCTTGGCGTCGGTGCAGAAGATGTCTTTGTGGAACTCGACGAGAGCTTCGATGGAGTCGGCGGTAAGCTTGAAGGCGACCTCGTTTCGTAGGACCATATCCACGTGCACTATGTAGGCCTCGATGTGCAGCAGCTGGTAGTTGAAAAGGGCCTCGACTAGGGGGTTGGAATCCTTGCGTAGCTCGGACTCTGGGGCCTTGGGAAGCATGATCGATGCGAGGGTCCAGATGGCGTCTGGCGATGAGAGCAGCTCGGTGAGGCATCTCTGGTGCTGTGGTACACTGTTGAGAGGGCGTTTTACCCTGTTTACACGCTTGAGGGTCTGTGTCAACCACGGCTCAACCCTAGATCCCAAAACGACATTGACTGAAGAGGCTCTTGGCGCGAAGGCCGCCGCTGAGGCTGGTAATAGCTGAGGGGGCATTTTGTGAAAGGATCTGTGTTTGGGATACGAGTATATGGATCGGGTAAGGCCAAGTAGCAGTTGAGGGCTCTAAGACGGGGTGATATCCTTGTCGTGGCGTAAGCTAAGCTTGAACGCGGGTGTGGGTGTCTTCACGGGTAGGCTGACTGATCCACGGCGGAACACGAGAGGTCATAGACGGACAAGGGCAGGATGGTAAAAGAGACGAGGAAGGGAAGGGAAAGGTATAATAGAATAAAGTAGAATAAGAAAAGTAAATGATACTTTACGGAGCTGGCGGTCCCAAAACAAGGAATTATCTTACGCGCCGGGCTACCGTTAAGAAGGGAAGGGAGGGTGAAGGGAGGACGAGGTTCTCGTGGAGAAGGAAAAGAGGAGGGTAGGTGTCAGAAAAGGTGTGGGAGGGTGGGCTCGTGATATACTCCCAAGGGTTCCCATTCTAGTATGAATAGGTAGTAGTCGTAGTCGGGGACAGAAGGAAAGAAGGGGGGGGGTGGTGGCAGGCGGCTGGGCTGTGTGAGGAGCGCCGCCCCGGCGGAGGGAGCCGAGCCCGAGGAATGGACCGCCACCCCTCCATTCTGCAGCAGTGCTAATACCAAGAGAGGACTGACCGGAAAAACAGCCTGGAAAAGCCAGCGTGGGGCGGGGCGCAAGATCGCCTGCAGGTCGGGACTGGACGAGGAACCCAGGTGCTGAGTCGAGGAGCTATGCTCCGCTGCTGCAAGCACGGGTCTCGGGCATTTCCTTCCAAGGCGAAGAAAAAAAAAAAACGGGGGGGGGGGGGGGGTATGGCCATCATCTGCATGGGCTGGACTTGGCTTGGCAAGCCGAAGGGACCCCCCGCTTGCAGAGCAGGCCAAGGTACCAGGACGAGTACGAGCCCAAGTGCGCAGTAGTACACTTCCACTGAACCCCTGTCATCGCTAGCAGACACGCCATCCCTCCTCCAGGATTCCACGGGTAAAGATGGTACAGTAATATTTCTCAGTAATGGCACGGTACCATGAATATTGAACCCCCAAAAGCATTGTAGCCTGGAAGGAGCAATCGTAGGAACCTTCAACACACCCCACGTGCCTCCACTCTCTACTCGAATTGTTATCTTCTACACCAAGATTGGAAACTGCAAGTACGAGGGGACATGTGCCCGCGGGTTCCTGTGCCAGGGAGAGAACGAGCACGAGTCCGACAACTCTAAGCTCGGAATCAGGTGATCATGAGGTACCCTGCTGCCGGTGATGCTGTGTAGGGCCGAATTAGTTGCACCATGATTATCGTACTCGCCCTCATAGTAAGGCAACTGCCCGCAGCCCAATCAATCCACTTGCCCGACTCGAGCAAGTGCTCGCCATGAACTACATGAAATGGCCCAAAAGTCGGCCAGGCACGCTAACAATCAGGCTTGCCGAGATGAGCCAGACCTGCATCGCGTTTACCCCTCTCTCCAGGACTTGATCCTCTACAGGACTCTTTACAAGTACGGGTACTTTGTTCGAGAAATCCATTATCCACGAGGATGCCTATCTA